TAAGAAACAAATGGTACCGACGGTGCCGGCTGCCAAGCCTATTGGTGACCAGACTAGGTATACCACCTCCTCGGAGACTTTGCATTCTTTCGCGCTAAGCCCAAATCAATGCCTTCCTCTCATAGCAAGAAGAGTTTTCACTTCATTAGCTTTCGTAGCTTTCGGAGTTAGTCAGAAGGTATTGCCGCCTGTTTCTCCACAGCTTCTAGATGAACAGGCAAGAACGCCCAAATTCGACTCAGTGAAACGAACCCCCTTTGTTATCAATTCCTTTCCCCACTTCCGGAGGAGCATCAACATAACCCCCAGGCGGTCCTCCGGTTTCAGCTGTCATCCTCACAGTTATCGGGAAGATGGCCCAAAGGGTTAGATCCCAAAACCGGACCGGACCATAAAGCCGAGATCGCCAGGCGCCCATTGCCAAGACGGCAGCCCGCGGACGCAGATCAGATGTAGTACTGTCTGGTCTGGTTATGAAAGAGCGCGGCATTTCATCTGTAAGTGGCCAGACTAGATTTCTGAAGGTTCCATTTTGTTTTCCGATTGCTTCGAGATCAAGATACGGTTGTAACCGACCGTGTAGACCTGATGTGGTATTGGCCCGCACTAGCCCTCATCCGCGCGTGCCTTTTCAGCCCATCTCTGAATTGCTCAACCGTCTGTCACTGTTGAAAACGTTTCCAGGGTGTGTTCTTTCGGAAACCTACAACCTATTTCTTGCAATTTATGTGTAGAGGCATCGGCAAAGCTTCGCTCCTTTTCGCGCGGCCAAAGCCATGCCAAGGCGTCAAGCTTTAGGGTTGTTGGCTCTAAGCGACGAGTTTCAGGAACCAGGATCAATTTCTTCAGAATCACTGAGTCGTCAGATCATCCATCTGATTAGCACTCTCAAGCAACTCTTTTTCAATTTAATGCTGGAATTACAAATACAAACTCTAGTTGAAAGTCTCACTAGGAAAAGCTGTAGGCTTTAGTAGACAGAGCTTTATCTAGATTCAACGATGCCCATGGTACAGCCATGAAGAAAGGCTATGAGATCGGTGCTAGTCTCGGCTGGTCAAGAGGTCGACCTTGGAAACCCGATACCAGCTTCCAGCTGGCCTGAACTTTTCAGGCCTCTCCCAACATTGACTGGTTCTCTAAAGGTTGCTGATTCAAATTCCAGGGTCATACCAACCGCTGCCTTCGCAGCTTCTTTGTGCACAAGCGCGGCTTTGCATCAATGTCAAGGATGAATAATCTGTAATCATGTACAGCAGCCACACTCAGGTCCCTTTAGTTATCGCTCCATTTCCGGCTCAGGCCCTGATAGGAAGCAGGTAAGCTAGGTTCAACAAGACCGCCCTGCGAGTCAACTACCACACCTTCTCATCAATTACCTATTGCCAAGATAAAGATGGATTTCCTGCAATTACACTCCCTCTAGGAAGACAGTAATACAGTTCACAAAGATTCATCTTGGCTTTTCTGCGTCCTTATGTCAACTGGTCCCGGGCTGAGATTGGGAATAGTCTACGTGCCAATGAGAACAGTGAAAGACACATCAAACGGATACACTAAAGCGAGAAGGCCCACCAAGTGGGTTTCCACGTTTACCTATGGGATTGACTGAACTTTTTGCAGCCATATTATCACTAGCCACAGCCAAGAAGTAAAACTTGTTGGCGACATGCCCTGTGGGTGATGTCTTCGTTTAGGATATATGTGCACGCACAGAATGTATGTACTAAATCTTACACCAACGCGTAATGCATCATGTGGGTTACCCAGTCACATTCTCATTCAAATTGAATCTAATTTATATATGAGTATTGTTCTTGGTTAGGACAACAGATCCCAAGAACAAGTGCAACAATGATATTCAGTCTAAGGTAGTAAGCAAGATCTCACTAGGCTGGGTAACCTGGCGCCAGGTGTTAAGTCAAAGCACCCACTTTTCGGCCACCCCTGCATTTCGGCCACCAGAAATCGAAGCTATCGCAACAACACCACCCTTTTCAATTAACTATCGCCGAGGCCCAGATGCAACTATGATACAGCTTTCTGCTTCACTAGGGCAATCAGATGCGCTGGATTCATCTGTGTTAATCTCAACTTCGCTAGCCTTGATCTGGGCTTGCTGTATATTGCTGATGTTAGCGAACTTAGTATTAGGGTCGATTTTGATAGTCTTCCTCTTCCTTGCTGTAGTGTTGCTGATTTAGGCCTAGAGAAGCTGTATCTGATGCTGGGTAGTAGCTAGCTAGAAGGACTGCTCTTAGAAGCCTTTTTTGACTTTTCTGAAGAGCTAGCGTTATATAGCAATGCTTTGATCTAGCTTGCTGAATAAGTCTAGTTAACTATTAAGGTCCCTTATTTTCCTAGACATAGACCATATAATAGTAGATGAAGCAGATACTTATCCCTCTATATCCTAAGCATCCTGGATACCTTGGATACCTTGGGTAGCCTTGTTAAGTGGCGTTAATAGTATTATTGTTAGTATTATTACCTTAGGTAATAGTAAAGAGCTTATAAAAGGTTTATTTATAGTAATAGGCTATAGTTTAGTATATTTCTAGCTACTTAGAATATTCTTTTTTATTAGCTTAGCTAAGTATATTAACTAGTAATAAGATAAGAAGTGTCTTTTGCTTATTATAGTTGAATTGTTCTATTAGTTAAGGTTAAGCTGGAGCCTTTTGTAATAGGTTATTTTGACTAGGTAGAAGACTGACTAATCTAGTGGCTGAAGGACATGGGAGGTATATAGTAGCAAGAATAACAAATAGACGTTATTAATATAGTATTACTATATAAATTCTGTTATTATATGGCTCCTATGCCTATCTAGGACCAGTAGTCTGGCCTAATTAGACTGGGAGGGGGTAGTCTGTAGCAAGAAGACCTTTAGTAGCTACTTAATAGTAGTCTTATTAGTTGTCTATTTATTCTCTATTACTATAAACTCTTATCTATTATATAGGCTAAAATTTAGAGGAAATTACTATTATTAGACTATTTTGCCCTTATATATTATAAGAAGATATAGTACTAGGCTTTTAGCTAAGATATACTTGATAATAGATACCTAGGCTTATAATCCAGGCTACTTTTTCTATATAGACTTGGTTTTTGCTTTACTTAGTACTAGCCTATTTATGCCTTAGCCCTTAAGGATACTAGTCTTATCTATGTTGTATTTATTAGCTAGTTAAATAGCTAATATTACTAGGATTATGAGATATCTAAACTAGTCCCTAATTATCTTAGTAGATGCCCTATTAATATGTCTAGAATTAATAAATTAACTTCTTTAAACCTTGATAGATAGGTTTCTTTATATAAAGGCATCTAACTATCTCTTTCTTAGAGGCTAGGTATTACCTATTACATTTAAGATACGCTAAGCAAATTCTCTGACTTGCTGATGTATTGGCGTAAGCCTAAGGTCAGCCTGGATTTATACCCAGCTAGCTAGCTTAGCCTCTTGACTAATAGAGAGCCTCTGGAGGTCTTTAAATGCTGCTGCTCTAGGTTGGGTACCCTTTAATCGGCTCTGGAGTGTTAATCGTAGTACTCCCCATCGCTTAGAGGCATCGCAAGCAGATACCCTATCCGAGATATCAGCAAGCGCTCAATGGACTTCAAATTCTGTGTACTAGGTCATTAGGCTATAAAGAATAGATACTAAAGAAATGAGATTATTTGGTAAAGAATGGAAAATGTTGTGATAGTTGGAAGTTAAAGGGCATCTAGAAAATGGGCGGCTAGGCGGCATTTTCTGGTGGCCGAAATGCAGGGGTGGCCGAAAAGTGGGTGCTTTGACTTATTGTGTGTAACGGTTGAAACTCCCGTATCCTTGTCCTAGAGAAGACAATCAACTCACGCCCCCGTTAGTATTCTCTCTGATTCGCCAAATGCTGCGTGTTTTCTTTGTGCCTACTGGCAAATAACAGCGCAGTAGCCGTCTTGATGGATTTTACTATGAAGTCTGACAACTCAAGCTATGGGGTCCCGGTGTTTGCCTACTCCGGCTCATCAAAGTGGGTCTCGGTAAATCCGCTTACGGCCGAGAACGGCATTCTAACATTCATGCCCGGCACAACTCCGCCTTGGAAAGGGCCGTCTCGTTGGGCGTCTACAGAGTACACTCAACTCACAATACTACCGAAGAGAGGAATCAGTTCAGCCGAGAAACCCTTGTTGTCATTCCCATGAGTCCCCGAACCCATTAACACCGAGGCCCGCTCCATCATGCCGCGAATGCCGGCGCCGCACGATTAAGATCGGCCACAATAACCCTTGTAAATCGTATGTGTCTTCGAAGGTCAGTGTATGCACCTCGGGCGGGAAAGATAATTATGCCTGACGGGAAGCATTATAGACAAGGGCTAGCACTGTCTTTTCGCCGAGTGCAAACAATATGGGCCTTGGGCCTGCTGTGTTCAAGGATACGCAACTGTGCCTTGAGTTAGACTTGGGCTTGGGAGTCTTCTTACAACATATTGGCTTTACTGTCTAGCACTTTTGCTACTGTTGAATCAGAGAACTAGATTTCCGCGTCCGGGAGTAAAAACCGTTGTCTTTTTAAGGAATTTTAATGGCTACCAACAGGAGGTAATGCTGGCATAATGCAAAAGAGGCGTCTCACATTGCATCTATGGACCATAAACCGATTTCTGTTGTGGATTCACCCGCCACTGACTTCGGCTCACCGGAGTTTGTAGTGGATTTGACTGGGAATGGCGTTCCTGCCCTCACTGACTGCACCGTGTGACCTTCGGCCGAGACGGTCGGGGAACGGTCTTAAGTACCACACATTGCGTTGCTTGGAAATCAACCACGCAGCCCCCACTGAGGCCGCGACATGAATCCATTTCACTATATATGCCATATGGGCCGTTCTTCTTTATTTGAATGAGCTCCCTACAAGTAAGAACAGTCCAGCCTAATAGAACCACCGTACAACTCACCCTACCCTTCTTCAAAGCCTATCGTCCTACAAGTCACTATCCATCATGTCGCCAACACTGAAGGTTCTCATCAGCGGCGGAGGCATCGCAGGCAATGCTCTCGCCTTCTGGCTTTCGAAGCTAGGCCATGATGTCACCGTCGTTGAATGGTTCCCAACCCTCCGAGCCTCGGGCCTCCAACTAGATCTCCGCGGTCATGGAATCACAGTCATGAAGCGAATGGGCATTGAAGAGGAATTCCGCGCCAAATCGGCCCCGGAGCAGGGCCTACAATTTGTCAATAGCTCGGGAAAGCTACTGGCTCGATTCCAGTCTGGCAATGAAAATGGCAAGGGGCTACAAAACTTCACTACCGACTACGAGATTATGAGAGGGGACCTATGTAAGATCATCTACAACGCAACAAAGGACCGGACCAAGTACATTTTTGGAACGTCAATCGAACATCTTGAGGATAAGGGCGGTTCTGTCCAAGTTCGATTCAAGAATGGCCAGGAAGAGTCATTCGATCTCGTCGTCGGCGCCGACGGCCAGCGTTCACGTACCCGCAAGATGATGCTAGGGTCTCAAAGTATAGACCCGGTTGTGCCGCTCAGTGGTATGCACGTGGCGTACTTTACTACACCGATGCCGATGAAAAAGGGAGACGACTTCAACGCAACAGCCTACGTCGCAACCAACAACCGTGCTATTATGCTGCGGAGACAGAGTACGGATCATATGCAGATCTACCTGCTGTGTAAACCTAACTCCAAGGAGTTTGGAGATGTCCAGCAATCAAGTGTTGAAAAACAGAAGGAGGCTATGGCCAAGGTTTTCCAAGGTGCCGGTTGGCAGACGAAAAACATTCTGGAGTCTATGATGAAGGCTGACGACTTTTACTTGGAAAAGCTAGGCTTGGTCAAACAAGCCTTTTGGTCCCAAGGTCGTATCACTCTCGTTGGGGATGCAGCATACAGCCCATCGTCATTTACGGGGATGGGAACTACCTCTGCTATGGTCGGTGCCTACGTCTTGGCCGGCGAAATCAGCAGGCACTGTGGATCCGAAGGAAGCGACGAGGGACTTGAAATGGCACTGAAGTCCTACGAAACCAAATTCCGGCCTTTCATGGAACAGGTACAAGAAGGTGTATCAGCAGATTCGTTTCCTTATAACTTGTGGCCGACAACTGCTTTTGGGATCACCATTTTCAACTGGCTCATTTGGTTGCTTGCTTTCTTGAAAGTCAATGTCTTTGGGGAATGGCTTCTCAAAGAGAATGTGAAAGAATGGAAACTCCCGCATTATGACGAGTTGCTGTAAGGCCAAGTTAAATACAGTTTTTATTTTATTTTTATACAGAAAATGCTCGTAGGTAGCAAGACTACGTCCCTGAATAGCAGCGACACAGATACACACTCTTCTCTCAGTACTATAGGCACAGATTTAAGGATTTAGTTACTCAATACTACTCAATAAATCCAGATAAATTACGAGTCTTCTCCAATAGAAATCAGACTGAGACCATCTCGTTCCGTCCTGCCTTGTCATGATCATTATATTTTGGATCGCTCGGGTGGAATGCACCGTGTTACGCAACCGACAACCCCCACCCAGCCTCACGTCATTTCCATTGATCGCTCGAGACGGTATCGTCGCCTATATCTCCGATATGCCGCCCGAGGCCTTCAGCATGGAATAAATCGCGTGCTAAGCTAATGGAAAGTGCGTGACGATGCTGTTCATTAGTAGCAGGAGCGCTAGTCCGTTGCAGGATCGAGGAAGGCACACATCGACCCCTCTGCTCTATGCTGTCGGCCTCTAAGGCCTAGGTGCAAAGTGTCCCGCCTTCAATCCAAGCAGGAAGCGATTGATTGGATCAAAGAAAACACTGCTTGTCCTTCGACCAACACGTTACAGACCGCACTGGTTAGTATTGCTGCTGGAGAACGAATAGAGTCGGTGTCCGAAGATTCGGCCCTTGACAGTCGCCTCGTCAGTGACTCGATGCTACGACAGACCCACCAAGCCAACTCTGATCCCGTCTAACTCTAAGCTAATAGGCGGGCAAGACTGCCCACAGATATGGGGCACGGATGTTAAGGCTGCTGTCGGGCTTCGGCACTTGCCATTTGGGACCTCTGAAGGCCTAACATCTATCAAACGCACATTGGACCCCGAGGACCATGTCCAAGTGTCTCGGGGTTCGGGAGGGGTCCACACCTGCTCAATTGATCGAGCGGCGTGCACTATGCAGTAATCATGTTGTGTTTCGGCCTTGCCTGGAGTTTGGATGCGATTCTTTTGGGTCCCCACTGTACTTTGCTGACGTCCTAATTTGTGCGCCCGCCGAAATGCGCAGGACCCTGAAGAGTCAATTCACAAGACACCGTGTGAGAGTGGCTCCTCAAGATCTTGATGATAACTAATGCGCTAATGTCTCCCAAGCAAACGACCTGGATCATGTCGAATCAGTAGGGTCCTCCGTCCAGTGTATAAGTCCGGATGAATATCCTCCACAGAGTTACCTGCGTTGAACTCTGTTTGAGAGCTACCATCTGGTTCGTGTGCAAGCACAGTGTTCCTATAGGTACAAACTCCGACAAAGGCAACCATGCAAGTAAGGGGCAAAACTCTGAAGGCGGACCTTCGCAGTCCTATCTTTAGTGGCTCAGACTGTGTCCGAGTATCTAAGGGTCTATGTCCGTCACGTAACCCTATGTACCGTCTATTCCAGTCGACTTCCTAAGCGGCAACCAAGGTATCTCATACGGTGTGTAGCTCCTTGAGCGTCTCTTCTCAACTCTCTATTTCGCTAGACTCCTCTACCAGGACTCTCTCTTGACGCTTTGCACGCTAAATGAGTGGTTCTTTGGGACTCTTACTTTCATTGTCATTCGCTTCCTGACGAGCGCTGAGCTATCCTCCAGAAGGAACTGACACTAAATTCAAGCTGCTTCTGCCAAATCTCGCTGTCCCCACCAAGTACGATAGAACTCAAAAAAGAAGCCTCATGAGCTCTTCTAGGAAGTGCTAGCTGCGACGCTCGATCGACTGAGGCTTTTGTCAGGTCGTTCATGTCTACGAAGTTAATGTCTAGTCCCCACGTGTACCGGGCCGCAGCGTGCGAGTCAGATAGATCGCTCGACTTAAGACCACCGCCGAGAGACATGCGGATGCCCGAAGTTTTAGAATAGACTAATCCATCAACCTCTGAGGTGCAGTGACCTTGGCCTACAAGTGACTGACTGCTTGTAGCCTCGGCAGACACCAAACATGTCAGTGTCGAGGAGCACCTCTTGATGGTCAGCTGCTCGACGCTGATAGGTAGCCAGTACTTGACCTTGCGGGCTTGGCCGTTTGTGGCAGCGCAACTAAGGAGCTACAGTGATCCATCCACCATGGTCGGGTGAATATGGTATCCTGTCTCATGTACGGGTTCCGTTCTTGACAACTCGAGCCTTGGGATGGCCTGTTGTCAGAACCTATCGGCGATACCTCGAGTGTTTGCATGGTCTGGAACTCCGGACCCGAGTCGAGGCCTGTCTTGCGCAGGGTGGCGTATCAGCTGGATGCTGAGACCTTGTGTTAGAGGCGCACAATCGACTCCGAATCATGTTCGGGCCCTGATGAGATTGCCATGACCTATCCACCGCTGTGCTTGTTTCAAGTTTGGTCGTTGATGTTTAACTGTGGAACTCATTGAGTGTTTTGCAGCCATATATTACTGGCCACAATCACAAAATAAACTGTGTTGGCGATATGCCCTGTGAGGGATGCCAACATTTAGGACGTCTGTGCACAGAATGATATACCAAGTCTTACACCAACGCGTAGTGCCATTCGCGCGGGTTACTCCTTTTCTAGCCACCACTGAAATTCTGATTATTGAGGACGCTGTTACCGAGCTATTGGAGTTACCTGAACGCTGGACTGGAAGTTGGAATTGTCGTTAACTATCACTTTTGATGAGGCATCTCGGCAGTGTTCGAACATCAATCATAATGTCCCACACACTGTACAAAACTAACGCAATTGGTGTATGTTGGTCTGACATTGGCCGGGCTTCATTCCGCAACCATCTAATGACTACGCATTTCGACTTTGGGCTTTTGAGGCGAGTGCATCCAGTATCCTGTTCGCCCAAGCTTGGTTAGCTCCTCATTTCCCATTGAATTCGAAGGCTTGGAGCGTTGGTAGAAGAGTGTTTACGACATCATAAAGTGGGCCTCATGAAATTGTTGTGGCATAGGTATGTTCTATTAGTGGTAATTATATGACATTGTGGAGGAAGGGGAGACACATCGGATTAATGATACACAACTATCCTGCGAAGAGCAAAATTGTATTTCCAAAGAAGTTTACCTCGGGAGACAAGAGGTTGACACTCCTTCTTGCACCACCGCTCAAACATAATCCAGAGCTTTGTTTGAGCTAAGGATTTGCCACATAGTATACGCTCAGTTACCACGGCTGTGAGAGCGTAAGCACGAGACTCGGATCAATCATTCTGGATTTACTCACATTTCCGCTCCACTTGCATCAGAGCAAACTGCTAGTCCAGAAACTGCAACACACTGCCCCTGGCCATTAGAAAGGAGCCTGGTGCCGTTTTCGAGGTTGGGGTCAACTGCTGTGCCGGCAAGGTCTCGGAGGGCCTGCTTATCTGCATTTTGTTGTTGTTTGCTTCCTCCGCGCTGAGGCGAAGCGGCAGCAAAGCCGAAAATGGTAATGAGAGTGAGAAAGGTAGCGGAGAACTTCATTTTGAGTTTTTACTTATCTAAAAAAACGTAAAAGAAAAAATTGTTACGAGAATAACTAATCAAAATTGGGAGAGACTAGTCGGCCGGCCGAGAACGATGCTTGACAGAAAATTATCAAGTATGTTGGACGAATTGGGGAGGAAACTATTGGCAACACTTGGATGGATTTATACGCCTGAGATCAGTAGCTGCACCTATATATCACCGTTTCCAAATTCGGATGACATGCAGCTTTGACGTTGTCACAAACTGGCATGCGTTCCCTGGGAATTTGAAGTGAACCTGACTCCTGTCACAAACCCGAGACAGCTCCACCAACGCAGCACCTTAATATTAGTCTTATATAATAGCTCAAGTCCATGTGAAAGTAGAGAAAATCGCCTGATAAGTCTAAATAAGGTTGAATACCGCCGAAAATTGCGCTTCAATCTGGTCGCTTAAAGATAACATATCGGACTTTGTGTGTTTGGTGTCACGGTAGGTGGTTTCAAGTTTGAAAGTGATCTCCTGACAATCAGAGGACTTGTTTGACGATCAATCATATTCGGGAAGGTAAGCTATATGCGGAGTAGTCCTTCTAGAACTTTGATGCCCCTATAGATGCGAATACGGATTCGATTTGTCTCTCTACTTCCTTAATAAGGGGCATACGCTTGGCGCAACCTTAGGATGAATTGATAAAGCCTGGTTGAAATCTAACAGCTTGTGTGCGTCAACCTCGACTCCCCGAGCACACCAGCGTTTCCTCTCGTTCAACGGCTAAGCTGGCTTCGCTCTCAATTTTGTCTAGTTCTCTGGCAAGATCTCTGTGATGTTGCTCTTGGCTAGATTATCCGTCTCATCCAACACCTCGACGAATCGCGCCTTTGCAGCAGCAGTTTTATCGTCATCAAGTTGAGCCTTGTGCATGTGCTCCATAGCCACGCACATGACCGAATCCATGAGACGCAATGCCAAAGGCCCCGCAATTCCCACGTCGTAGAAAGCTGGCGTCTCGTTGACTTCCAGAAGCCATGTGTTTCCGTTTGTGTCGATGAGAAAGTCAACAGCAAACAGCTCGAAGCACTTGTTCATAGTGGTGAACTTGTCCGCCATGGTATGAGCAGCGGCACGGAAAATTTCGGCAGAGATACTGCATATCTGGTTAAAGACACGATTTTTCCAATCTCCGGGAAGCAAATCGTCGGATATTGCCCAAAAGTCTCTCATCGATTCTTTCTCAGTGAACACGTCTTCATCCTGAAGAGCCGTATTTGTCAATGATGATCTGAGACTAGGACTTAACCATGGAGGTTCATAGTCCTCTCCAGCAAGAAGTGCAAGCATTTCCTTGAAGACGTAGGCTTTAAGACGTCCCATAGAAAGAACATATGCTCGAGCATGCCATTTTCTGTTGTCCACAGGCGGAATGGAGACGATGTATCTCTGAGCCACGAATTCACGCATCTGGGCGGATGGAATGCGTCCACCCTCCTTGAATACGTACTGTAGCTTCGGGCTCCTTTGAGCGCCATTCGACGTTGTCTTGAGGGACGTGGCCTCCATGGTAGTGATCAAAGCATCCAAGGAGTCCAGACCCGGGGTTGACAGAGTCGGCGAGAACTCATGGGAGTTACACCGCTCTGGCTCCACGGCATAATTTGTCATAGCTTCCTGAATATTCCCGGTCGGTTCACTCTCATTGTCGTCGTCTATCTCGTACTCGGCGAGCTCAAGGTGGCTAGCGAGCTCTTCCACGGTACTGAAGAGTCGGATACCGGCTCCACAATCAACCAATGCGGGCTTCATGATCCACCATTCGCGCTCCGATGCAGGCTTGTCCTTGTTCTCCTCCAGAGAATAGAGTAGTGAAAGGTCATCAGCGGCTGTCAGAGCTTCGTCAACGTACTCAGCGTAGTCAAGAGACAGGCGGACAGTTTGGGGCACATGACCCTTGAGGATGCTGTTTGGCCTCTTAGCCGTCCAGAACTCCACAACCCGCGCGAGATAGTCCTTTCGGGCTAGGGCATCGCTATTGGGATATGCATTGATCAGAGCTGTCTTTGCAGAGTTCATAGCCGCGAAATTTCGATTCAGAGCCCAGCCATCACAGAACTGGAAGAGCTTTGAGGAGTCGGTTGGCAAGTCGTTGAAGTTGTCGATGAACTCTGTCTCCGGTACATGCTTCCGGATACATGACTTGATGTGCGCTGACAGCCAAAGGCAGGCGGGCTGGATATACGCGTACATAGTACAAAGCTTCGGCGACTGGGTGCTCACTCGAATGGTATGTAGGAACAACTCCAAAAAGGATGATGATTAGAGCCCGGGTTTCGTGATGCGGTGTTCGGCAGGTAAAAGTCTTGGTCTTTCACGAGTTTACCGGGGTTTTATACATCAATCTGCACTGGCCATCCGACTTGACGATCGCAGCATCGACCATGAAGCTGGAGCGGCCAAGCGGTCTGCCAAGCGGAAGCGCGGGTACCTATTACCTAACTAACACAGACTGTTTGCTCTGCTTATTTCCATTAGACATAATCAATTTCAGAAACGTAATTCGTACCGAGCTCCCCTGAAATAAATCGACCATATTTTCAATTCAAGTCTGGTCATGTTAACCTTTGGAGCCAAAATCCTTGGAAATACCCTGGTGCAAGTGGCTGCATGCAGGGCTTCGACAAACATCATCCCACGCAAGTGTAACACGGATGTTATTCTGCAAATAGAAATCAGAAGCTCTGTTAAGACTCTGAGAAATCGTCTCTTGGTTTAGTCATGGAAAGACAAGGCAGTTGCTATTGATGTTAGTAAGGAAGACTGGGATAAGCGAGTTAGAGCAGCGCATGCCTGATTCAAACCATTAATTGCCGTGGAGGCATTTGTAAAGCTGCAATATATTTCCACATTTTCTGCCTAAGATCCTAAGAGTTTTGGGCCTCCTCTTGCACTTAAGTGAAGTTGTTTCTTTGTGTAAATGTACCCCATATCGGTTTGTTCAGCAACCGATTAATTATCGCTTGCTTACTAGAAGCAAAGCTCGCCACTCGAGGGAAGAACTAAACTAATACGTGGTCTTAACTAGACAACCCTACTTGTAAAACTAGTCATTAGGGAGTCCTGGAAGGAACATAGGGTTGTGTTCCTCAAAATGGACTGATATAAAACTTAAAAAAATCCACAAGATGTTGTATAGGCTTCACATAGTATTATGATAAGGGATATGAAGCGTGACTGCTATTCGCTAACTGCTTCTTGAGAAACATGGCCTTCTGTAAATTTCATGTAATGTTTGAAGAAAAAAAAGAAAAAGAAGTTGCCAAATGCATCAGAGGTAGGTCCCTGGCCTGCATATACCGGGCCTTGAGCATTGAGATTATCATCTGGGTGTTGAAATCAATGGAAATTCACTCCCAATATAAAGAAAGCAAGTAAAATATCTGACCAGCATTGGAATAGCAATGGTCCCTAACGATTTCCTGTAATCTAACATGATGTCCGCTTCCATATATCTCTATAGTCTCGAGTGGTATTGCGAGCTGCGATGGTGCGATATCCTCTCGTTATTACAAACCCTTGGATTGGCAATATATAGAGTGTATTTGAAGAAGAACACGAGACGCGAGTGCCAAATGATTCGACCTGCGAGTGTCTAAACACTGTTCATGTGCAGCTACGGTGACCAAACAAGCCTCGGCGTCATTGGGGTAAATGGTGGACTCTTTTCTTCATATTTAGTGAGTTGCAACCATCACCTCACTGGTTACCTTGCATGAACCCTCTTTAATGTCAAGGGAGGTTGAACCGTTGATTGGGGGGTTGTTCCAAGTTCCTATGCCGTTTGTTGCAGATGTTACTGACTGTGCGAAGTTCGGCTCATTTAATCTAAATTCAACTCATCCAAGATTTCGGAGAAAAACATTGGGAGACTGGAGGATCTCAGACTGGGCGCTAAAGGAGTCCGCACAGACACCCGCACCCCGCCTGCACGATCGACAACTCTACAAATGCCCAGGCGGCTTCGAACAGCGGAACACCAACGACTTCGTAGACAAAGTTGATAGCTGCAAGAGCAACGATGCGCAGTAATATCTGAGTAAAAATGAAGTACTCTGCATGGTCTCGTCTTCTAACATGAAACATTGTTCAGATAGACGGAATCAGACACGGATACACCGAGCAAGACCGTACGTAGTGAGGCATGGTACATAGTAAGAGAGAGGGCAAGAGTGGGTGGGGCCGAGTCCAGTCGACCGCACTGACGGCGGCCAATGGACGGAACCCGGGCCACTAACCGAAGTACAATCTGGGGATCCCTGGTCGCTAAGCGTTGCTGGGCTAGGCTTACCCTTCCACCGCTGTTTGCTCCCCACCATCAACACAACAAATGCGCTTCGTGCTTCCGGGGTCTATTCAATGCGACACGCGCCTGGCCCGACGCTGCCCCTATCCTCCTACCTGACGGGAGAAACTCGGGACGAGAAGATTCAACTGTGATTCTTCGACAACAATTGTCTGCTACAAGATGTCGTCATGGCGACTCTGCCGCCCAACTCTCTGCTTGTCCGATCCCGGCAAACGCGTTCGGGGACAACAACCAAGCCGTCGACCGCACCCATCGCACCCTCAATAGCTTCGAATCCTGTCTCGACTACGCACGTGTCACTGTTTCTCACCAACCTTCGCCTTCTCGATTTCCCCTCGTACCCCGACTGGCCAGACTTCGATGCGCAGACGTTCTCCGTTCAGAAGAAGCGCATTCACTGCGTAGAATGGACACTTTACCAGCTCTTTGTCCTCTGGGACCCAGAAGAGGCGCGGAATGTATGTCGAAAACAAATCAAAGCCAACCTTGTATCCTGCTAAAACATTACTTCTGTAGAAGCTCCAGCCCTTCTTCCCGCCCCGAGACCATGTCCAATCACTGAACTTGCGAGCCGCCCTGCTTCGAAGCCTCGACCAGGCAAAGAAGAATGGAGTCCTCGGACGAGATGCTGTCGTCCGCAAGACCATGCTGGATGAGTGCAAGGGGGAACGACTGGAAGAAGTTCTCGCCGTCCTTTCGTCCGCCGTTCTGAAAAAGATTGTCGCCCAAGTCTCGGAGGCCGAACGCGAATATCCTGCGATTGCCCAGCAGTTGGCGTTGGAAAATCGTGGATACAGCGCTGAGAGGACGGAGCTCATAACGCTTGCTCTCGCCCATCGAGCTTCAATCACCAATGCGGTGCGACGGAAGGACGAGGCGAGAAAGAAATACCACGAACTAGCCGAGCTGCTGGACTTGAAAGAAAGAGGAATCGCGCGAAGAAGAGAAGAGATCAAGGCAGCCAGTGAGCTTTCAAAGCATCGAGATGTCCCAGACGACCTGAAATTAGATACCTGGAGAACGGTCCGGAACAATTGGGCCGGAAACGAGCAGTGGATGGAGACCCTTCTCTACGGAGATTCGAATGCGCGAAAGGATGGAGTATTATCGGCGCCGTTCGACAGAGTCTGGAGACGTCTGCAGTCTGGTCGACTATCCGACCTGGAAGACCATGGGAAAGGCCTTTTGGAGCAGCTGGACGGCCGAGTAAGAACACAGCGAGAGAGGCTGGCTCAGTGGCAGCACTTTCAGGCGAAGATGTTTGGCGAGAGGCGCAGCATTGCTACATCTCCAGCTTCACAGCCCAAAAGGCCGAAGCGTGGCATCGAACTCGGATTCGACATTCACGAGAACCTCCATTTGGGGCAGATGAACCCTAAAAAGCAGCTTGCCAAGAGGATCCCACTTCTTACAAGGGACTACACAAGCCTCCTGAATGATTGCGAGGCGGAGTTGGCTCAAGTGGGCTCGGCGCCCATGATCAATCTCTCGGACATGCTGGGACCACCGCGTACCCGCCAACCTGAAAAGCCGGATGTTAATGGTGGCACAAGGGAGAGTCTCGGAGAAGAAACTGTTTCGGAGCTCAGCGAGCTGGAGGATGACTTTCAGGGTCTGAACACTGGACTGCGACGCCTTTCGCTCCACAATGATGCACCTCAGTCTGGTAGATACGACGGTCGCCCGGTTCTCACGCTCTCCAACGAGAAGACAAGACCGGCTGACATACCGCCCTCTTCACTCAGCCCACCACTACTACCCCCGGATTCGCACACCGAGCTTTCTATACCCCCGCCAACTCCTCCTCTCCCAGAGGAGGAGCAGGTCATCGATAAACCTCCCACTCGCCATCCTAGCTCGTCCCCACCGGAAAGAGAACGAAAGGGCTTCAGTGTCACTTTTGAGAGGGAAGACAGCTCACCAGAACCGCCCAAGTCTCCCACACAGGAACTGGCAGACCAAATCTTGGACGATATCGACAACGCGTCGCCGTCGCCCATGAAACGATCCAGGCCTCGGCATACCTTGTCTCTTGCTGAGCGGACGAGGCTCTCCATGGCACGATCGTCACGGAGCGCCAGGTATGATCAGGACGAAGACGATGACGATGACACTTTGAGGCTGCAGCCCTCCCTAGACAGCGTCAATCGACAAATGGAGGATCTTACGATCAACGTCACCGACGAAGATGATCTAGTCTCTCGCACACGAAAGAGCATGGCGGGCTTTGAAGCCGCTCGCCAAAAGGCCCAGCTAGACAGACAAAGGTCACTGAAAAAGTCGAGGACTCGGGCGCGGGCAGAAAGCCAGATCTCCGTTGTTGAGGAAGAGACGCTGCAGTTGGATCCAGACGCGTCCATCCTTGCTGAAGAGCTGATGACAGTTGAAGACATGGAGGCGGTCTTCAGAAGCCGGCCACGGATCAAGACTAGTCCGGCACCCTCACCCTCCAGGAAACCTCTCTAAGAGAACTTGTGCCGGAATCTCCAAGACTAGTAGAAGGAGGTTGTCCTTACAACTCATAAAAATACATAACCCTCAGTATTGGAAGTTCTTTTGTGATTGCTACATATTATACACCGCCGCATGGAAGCTTGCCTAGCATCGTCTAAGTACGCTAGGCAGTAATGAGCTACGCTTGTCGGCTTCCCCTCCTACCAACCCTGGTTCTTCAGTTCTTGCACCCGCTGCACCGTTGCCTTGAAACCATCCTTGAAGCGGGCCCTCCATCTCTCGCTGTTCAGTCTCTTGCGCTTCTTTCCCGGACGCTCATGAAATCTTTGCAGCTGGAACATGCGTCTGGTCTTGTTCTTCTTGGTCTGGAAATCGAGCTGTTTCAGGGCCTTGGCCAAGTCGACGTTGCTGGTGAGATGTACGGTACGGCCAGTGGAGGGACGCGTGCGCAGTGGCGGCTCTTGTTGGCCGGTCGGGTAGTGCTTCTTCAGGAACTCGTCGGACTCCATGGCGATGATCTTGGAAATATCAAACGCATCGGATGTAGCATCGTACGTAAAGGGACTACCGGGCTGCTTGTTCCCGGAAGCAGCAGCAGCGTCGAGTGAGGGCGGAGGCGGTGGTGTTTGCGTGGGAACGGTAGAGGCTGGCTTAGAGGACAATTCGGCAGCTGCTGATCGCGAACCAGAGCGAGGGGGTGCGCAGAGAATGGAGGAGGTCGCGAATGTGCGCGGCTGGACCCAAAGAGGCTGGTGAAGGGCCTGCGATACCCGCAAGGAGGGATTGCGAATTGTGCAGGAGGTGAGCAGCCTCTTGCTCAACAACCCAATTTCGGATGCCCTAGAGAGAGAATAGTCAGATAAGAGTATCCAGTTGTATTATAGTATCGCCTTACATGGTCAATGGACACGCAATGGGTACAGGCGTGGTATTATGCTGACAATCGATGGTACCACTGTAGCTGGATTTCCAGAAGAATTCCTCCTGAGGTCGGATCGCGAATGCTGGCCGGCGAGCTTTCTCGGAGAAGTGTGCTGCCGCGCCCCCGGGAGGCCCCACCACACTGGCCAATCAGAGGCCTGTCGCGTTCAAGGCTGCTTCGCGTTGGCCTCGCGCGCCGAATTTTGGGAAGAAATGGATCTGGTTCCAGAGACAGCGCCAGAGACAGACCAAGAGCTTCAGAGCTCCCCGTTCCGCCCTCACGCTTTCGCTCCTCTGAACCGTTTCCCTTCCATCTGGCTATACCTGACCTGCCACTGCTTCTCTACTATCGGGCGGAGATTCCCAACTTCTGGACAATAGCGTTTCTACAACGCATTGGAGCGCCAAACAAATCGATCTGGGCCCGTCCAAGAACGCTTGTCAAACGGTCTCCAAGTGTCGGCCGATAGCCTGACGATCGGCTTCAATCGACAACATCACTAGGTAGCCCAACATGGCCTACAATCCATACGGAGGTGCGTAGTCCTGGATTGCAACTACACAATTTTTTTTCTTAACTCACATCTTCAGCAGGCAACCCATACGGGCCCCCTCCAACCTATGGCGGCTTCCCGGGGTCGAACGCTGCTCCTGGCATGGCTCCCCCACCTGGTCTAGGTTTGAGATCCCACGCATCCTCCTCGCGATATCGTGCTAATTTATCTTCAGGCCCTCCGCCAGGCATGTCTTCCGCTCCGGGAATGGCACCACCTCCTGGTGTCCAGCAATCCAACAACGCACAAGCTAACCGACAAAGCGGCCTGCCGCCTAACTTCCAAGCTCCCGCGAACCTCCCCAACATCAACTTCAGTGCCCCCGTTATTCGACTCGGAACCATAGGCGCTAAGCCGGGCGGCCCAGATGCTGGTAGGAAGGACGGCGGTACCCCGACGGGTGGCAGGCAGGGCCTGGGCATGGACCGCGGATACGATCAGTCGCGGGCTGCCGCCAGAGAGCACATGCAGTCGCTGGTCCCACCTACTAGCGAGGAGAAGCTGCGCACATTGTTCGTCCATAAGATCCCCGAAGGTGTCAGAGGCGACGAGGGCATCGAGAGAATCCTCAACGCCGTAGGCAAACTCCGGAGATGGGATACCGCAGCCTCGGTCCTCTCTGACGGCAAAGGCACCAAGTTCGGCTTTGCTCAATACGAGGACGCCGACTCGTTCGCGAGCGCTTCCGATCTACTTCAAAACCTCGAGGTTCCCCTCAAGCGACAAGGCCCGGCGGAGGCACCTCCAGACGGCGACTCATTCGATGGAGTGGAAATGGTCAAGCTCCAGGTTACGGTCGATCCGAATTCTCTCAAGTACCTCGAATCGTACAAAGAGGGCAGAGGTGACGATGGTGCCGCTGAGTCGAGGACGCAAGCTGCTAGGGAAGCATTAAGGCAGGTTGTTCGGGACCTTGCGTATCCCAAGACAGCTGCGACGACCGATGGCGAAGGCGACGTGTCCATGGGCAACTCTGGAGACAACGTTGAGGTTGTCAACATCCCTCTGGCTCAAGATGATGAGCTCGCGGATATCCCTGCCGAGATGAGAGAGGTTGTTGCTGCCGAGATCGCGGCATTCAGAGAACGCAGCAACAAACGAGACATGGAGCGACTGAAGCGGGAGGAAGAGATGGAGGAGATGGAACGGAACCGCAATGGCCCCTCTCGGCCGTCACGACACGACTCTCCGCCGCCGTCCAACTCCAACAACATTCCTGTCGGCCCCCGTGGCATGCACAACGCGCCATCCGGGCCTAGAGGACAGAATGGCAGCCGCACTACGGCCTTCGTGAATGGAGGTATTTCCAACGCCGATCTCTCGATCAACCGCGAGGATGAGGAGACAGACGCCGACGACGAAGAGCTTTACCAACGGGAGCTTTCGAAGCAAAAGTCCGAGGAGGACAAGATGTATCTCGAGGCCGAGCGAAAATGGGTCAACCGAGAGCGTTCTCGGGCGGCAGCTCTGGAACGTGAGAAAGACCGTGAACTTCAGGAAGAAGAAAGCCTGGAGAGACGGATGCAAGAGCAGCTTGAGAGAGAGAAGGCCTGGGACGACGAACGAGAAGCATCGAGGAAGAGTCACTTGTACTACCGCGACCATGCAGCCTGGGTCAAAAAGCGGCAGGTCGAGCGGGCGGATGAACAGGCCAGAGACGAGGCCGACCGAAGAGCCGAGGAAGACGAACGACGTAGAGAGGCTGCGGACATGGAGAGGGCACGCGGTATGGCCGAATCCTTCCTGGACCAGCAAGCCCAAGAGATGGAGCAACGGCAACAGACGGCGACCTCGGCACCCGCACCGTTCAAGCTGTCGCTTGGAGCTGCTGCCCAACGTGCCCAAGCTCAACGCGTGGCACCTCAACGACGAACTGTCGCTGAGGTGGAGGGTCTGCTCGACGACGAGGAGCAGGACAGCACAACCAGGAGGCAGCTCATCCCCATCCAGTTTGAGCCTACGACTGCTGCGGACAAGATGACCGAGGAGGAAATTAGCAAGGCTGTTCGCGCCCTTGCGCAAGAAATCCCCTCCGAAAAGGAGGGTTTGTGGAACTGGAGCGTGCAATGGGACTTTTTGGACGAGAGCATCATCCGCGACAAGCTCCGCCCATTTGTGGAGAAGAAGATCGTCGAGTACCTCGGTGTCCAGGAAGAGATGTTGGTCGAGGTTGTCGAGGAGCACCTCCGGAAACATGGCAAGCCGTCAGAGTTGGTCGAGGAACTTGCAGCGGTTCGTACATCCACCCCCAGGCACCATAGAACAATTACTAACCCGACTCATAGGCTCTGGATGACGAGGCGGAGGACATGGTCAAGAAGTTGTGGCGCATGGTCATCTTCTTTACTGAGAGTGAGAAGAGAGGGTATCCGGCGTAGTCTAGGCAGCCGTTCTTGTATTATACCGACATACCGGCAGCAGCATGCAAAAGAATCGATTCTGCCCTTTGCTGGGGGTGGGGGACGGAAAATTTATCCCATTGGACAACTATTTTGATCAACACCTCTGGGAAGAACAGTGAGCGAGGCTTATACGGCCATTCCCCGAGTTCACGGAGACCAGGGAACTCACTTTACTCGCCAGAACATCACGACGTGCTTCGAGAACTGTGAGCGTTGACGCGATACCTGACCTGTGTCAAGCAAAATCACTGGCACGGATACTTCTCAAGCCATGCATGTACGTGTCGTTCGTTGTTGGACCATTGATTCGTTTCTAGGTTTCTCAGCACCCTCGTCACTTCCATCCTCCCTCCTTAGCTGTCCTGCATCTCGTTTCTTATAAAGAACCAAACGCACACCCCAGAACAAATGGGATGCCACAGTATAGCTGTAGATTGGTCAGTATGCAATCCCCGATACCCCATGGGTCTTAAGGTGTAAGGTGAAGACCGCTGTGCGGGATCTTTGAGGCGATTAGAAAACCCAGTCCTTGGGCGTAGTTTTTTGGCAACTGTGCTTGCTATGTAGACTGCTCACCATACCAGGAATCCTCCGAGGCCTTGCAGCAGAATCAATGCCCAGACCAAAGCGCTGTAACCACGGAGTAAGCCTCCTGTTCTGAAGTCAGATTGCCACAAAAGTCCACAGATAGAACATGCAGGAATAATCTGCCAGCTGGGCGTTGCCGACCGTTAAACTATGCTCCGAGACTTTGAAGACCGCCTCCATGTAAAACTTGTTGCAGGCGCTGCAGCATCCATACGGAACCAACCTGTATCTACACCATACCAGTCGCCATGGCGACCAAGAACATCCATTAGTGTGGATTCAGTGTTTACAGAAGCTTGCTGAACATGTGCGTCAGGATGAGCTTGACTTCTGAAAGCATCAAGTAGGGTATGACGTCATGACGGCATGCATCCAGGCTCTGGTCTGCAGGCTGACGGCGAGCCGCCGGCAGTGCGGTAGAGAAAGCCCCAGGCAGCGCCTGCAAGGAAGACGGATAATTTGGGCTCGCGGACAAAACAAGAGCACTCAGAACTCAGAGGCTCGTATCGCACAGTCTTCTTCCAGGAGAGCCTGCAACTAGTACCCTAACTGGCAGGGGTTAATGGTGATCAGCTTGTTGTTCGTCTGAAGAATGGCCTGCATGCAGAAGACATGGGTGTCGACTGTCGACTCACCAATATGCAGGCGGCAATTTTTTCTTCTTCGCACGAGCTTTTAAGCTTTCTGTCAATTCCTGTTATCACCAGAGTGCGTTAGAAGGTTTGATGAGCGCAACATGGCGAGGATGAGCGCAACCGTTGTCTGTGCGCATAGGCTGCGTGCATCGCTTTCTGCCGCTATAAACCGGAAAATTTGTTTCTGGAAGTTGATTTTGCTGACCTTCTTGGGGCTTCTCTCCCGTTTCCTCTCTCGCCATAGTCACAATATGCTTCTCGATCAAGCGAGCGACCGCGCCGGGATATCCGCCCGTTGCACCCGAGTGTTCGTGGGGGTCGGCAATCACCTCGTGTCGTGGTTAACTCGGCATTGACTCGCTGGCTCTCATCATCTCACTCTCCACTTGGCAATGTTTTTACCAGGACGATCCCACTTACGTATTCGCTGTGATCAACTTGCAGTTTTTACCCCAAAGAGAACCCCATTTATAATAGGAACAGCAATATCCCTCTTCCACGGTTGTTGCCGACGGTCCCTGGTCCAGAATACCAACGAAGTAACCACGACTGCAGCGGTCCAACCAATCAGTCATGGTTCTAGTTGGAAAGCTGGGCCTCCGGCTGCTCCGCATCGTCTCTCATCGCGCGCTGACTACTGCCCCCCAAGAAACCCCAAGACCCCTAAATAGGTTGCATACCCCACTTGCCCAGTTATTAGGCAACGGGGATACGAGGTCGGATACGCCAATGAACCTTGCTCAGCTAACAGCCTCTCTGGCGGGAATTCGAGCATCATGCGTCACGGAAGTGCGTAGTTCTACGAGACTGCCCCCCTTCGGCTGTACGGGCACTTATTTGGGAAACCTTTTGCACCTGCCCCTCCCTGGGGCCTCTGGGGCCAAGGAAGCGTGCCTACATTGGATGCTCCCTCCTCTTATTGTGTCGAAAGCTTTCCGCAATCCTCATGCTATCTCATACTTCCCATCTGAATTCTTTTCGACGTGGAGCGATTTGCTAACAAAACGCCCATACTGTGTATTAGTGTCTTGAGGGGGCCTAGGCTTCCGCCGCCTGTCAGAGCAACAGATGCTCTACTACCGAGGAGACCATGTTTTTCTCAACAAAACGCGCAGTTGCGTTGACGTCCAGCGTCTTCGTCTTTCTGCTTCTGGCTGCTTATCAATCGATCAAGCACAGTTATATCCAGAATCCTCTTCGTGAGGGACAGGTATTGAAGAATAACACCATCGAAGCGGCCTCGACCGCGGCTTCGTCTCTTACGACACATATACCTTTCTGGACCACCGAGCAGCTCGATCCCCGATTCGCCTATGTGCAATATGCAACCGACATCGATTATTTATGTAATGCTGTAAGTTGTGTTTTCCGGAGGCGCAGGTCACGGGTATCCCTTGAAAAGTGAAATGGGCTGACACACTGGCATCAGATCATGAACTTCCACCGCCTGGCATTATTCGCTACCAGGCACGATCAGGTCCTCATCTTCCCCGACAAGTGGACGGAAGGAAACTCGAAAGAGGCCAAAGCCATCAAGAAAATCAAGCAGGAACTTCCCGACCTGGTTCTACGGCCCTTCGGCCTCCTTTCCACCCACAAAGGCAGTGCGACATGGGCCAAGAGTATCAACAAGCTCCACGCCTTTGACTTGACCGACTACACGCGCGTCCTGGTCTTCGACTCTGACTCGCAAGTCCTCAAGAGCATGGATCACTACTTCCTCGCCCCGATGGCTGCCGTCGCCGTCCCACGCGCCTACTGGTTGAATAAAAAGGACACGCCCGTTGTCAAGCAGGTCCTCGGCTCCCATGTCATGCTCATAGAGCCAAACAAGGCGCGCTACAAGAAAATCATCAAGGAGGCGCGTAGGTCTGGCGACGTCGACATGGATGTCATGAACCGCATGTTCAAGGACTCAGCCATGATCCTACCGCATCGACGACTTGCGCTCATCACAGGAGAGTTCCGCGGCAAGGACCACACGAAATACCTCGCACCCGACGACGATGAGGAATGGAACGCCATGGAAGAGATCTCGAGGTCCTACTTGGTCCACTTCAGCGACTGGCCGCTGCCGAAGCCCTGGATGCCGCGTACAAACGCCGAGTGGCAGGCCGCCTTGCCCGAATGCCCTAAGGAGGATGAAGACAAGCCGGATCGCCCGCGATGCGCTGACCGGACAGTGTGGACAGGCATCTACAACGATTTCAAGGACGACAGAGAGACGTACTGCAGAGCTTGGATATAACCCGCAACGAAGAAATACGAAGCGACTTATGTCAAGCCTTCCCACAATGTCATCCAACAGTGACATCTGGAGGTCCGCGAGTCCCGACGACAAACACAGAGCCCAACGCACCACCCGATGGGTGCTGATCTTCCTGATAGGACATAATCTTAGCCGTTGACGGAGGTCGAGAAATACTCCATTTCCTGAGCGGAGGTGGTTCGTATTGCAAGGCCTTGGCCTAGCGCTGTTGAGCTTGGCTGCCAGTAGAGCAGTGGTTTAGGGGGCTAGAAAAGCTGGTCAACAAGCCTGAAGAACATACGCCCTGCTCATTTGGGCAGTGCCAGTCGCGGCCAGGGCTCTAGAACTAGCGTGCCGGAAAGCAGCCCGGATCACGTTGCGCTACAGCGGACAGCGTTAGACGGGTGTCGCACGGAAACGGCCTGCCGCACCGGAGCTTGAGACCTACATCCAACCCGAGCTCTGGTTGTCGGAGATCTCATCTCAAGCTTGTGTCCAGCGTAAACACCGGGCAGGATCAAAGGCCCGTTCATGGGTATGCTCATAGGGAGGAACACCGTCGTTCGATGACCGTCTGAGCGGATCCGTCGCGCATGGATGTTGGGGACAAAACCCGGGAAGGAATCGGATGGGCGGAAGGACGTTCAAATAGCTTGTACCCATATTGCGTGAGACCACTCCGTGATGTGTTTATGGCTAACTCAGATGGATAGCTCTGTGGTTGAAAGGGGAAAACGCAAAAGCGCTTTGTACGCCTAATTCTGCAACTGCGGCCGTTGTGGATGCCGGGGTGCTAGTTTGGATGGTAGAGTCACCAATGACAGGACTCGCAGAATGATTACACATGAATAATGAACCTAGCTATTCTTTAAATCTCTGTTTTATGCTTATTGCCGTAGAGGTTTGAGCACAAACCACTTCCTCTTTGTTACACCATATTGACAGGTTGAGAAAATAAACGTCGTGGATATGCTTGCGTGCTCACCACTCACACGTTAGCCGCTAAATCCAGGGCCAGCATTGACCTCATAACTCGATTTCTTTTTCTTTGGGAAATCTTGCTTATGATGAAAAGGAAGTCGGGACGATGCGAAAGGACGTATTGGAATAGTGGCGCTACTTAGGCTAAAGCTCCTGTGGGCTTCAGTGTCATTCTAACATACCAAAGCGCCTCATGTGTTCTGCAATCTGATTGTTTGCGAACGCTGTTCTCGCTATCGAACGCTGTCAATGCATTCTGTTGGAACGCTTCAGACGTCGTCTTTGCCGCTTCGAAGGCTTTTTCTGTTGTATCGTAACCTCACCATCACCCGTTGATCCGCTGGAAACGCCCCATGGGCTCTGAGCCACCGGCCAGTCCTCGACGGTGTCCAAAATGTCGTTTCTGATCTTCCTTTCTACATTGGCTCTCTCAATCTCCTTAAGATGCGTATAACGTCGAGCTATTGTTTCTTGGATCTGTGCTGCTCTCATTCGATACCCACGGTCTCCTGTCTTCAATTTTTCAACTGCGTTACGGAGCGGTTCCCAGCAGTTGTGTTTGTCGTCTCTTTCTCAAAGAACACGTGCCAGATATTTGGAGGTTACCACATAACAATTCGTAGTATATCCCCAAGTTTAAAGCGTCAGCTTTCCTGTTCTTCGACCAGACTCAAGTTGCCTCGTTCTCTATACGCAGAAAGCATGTATTCCGAGACAGACACGAGGTCCTTTGAGTGGTAGCTCTGCCTGTGAATAACAGACGTCGCCAGTGATTGGTACGTCTCAAAAGCCTCAATGCGAAACTCGCCAGCAAAGTGACTATGAAAAACAGCTGATGAAGCGTTTGATAAATGGCGCATTAGGACGACGAGGTCGGTTACTAATACCTCTGATGTACACAAAGATTTTCCAGATGTAGACTACCACCCATGGATAATGTTGTTGAGCGGCAATGGAAAGCTTGTGATAGACTTCTTGCATCGTCTTGAAGGCTTTCAGGGGGTTCTTCGTCTGAACCAAAGATGACGCCCCACGGCACTGATCAACGATAGTCTTCCACAAACCAGAGTGGTCCGATAGCCCTGCCGCATACGTGACCCCGAGGTCATCCCAAGCCCAGTGTTTCTTCGTCGTGTTGAGTCGATGTTTGACGGAGTCGCTGACCAGCTGGAGCATGAGTTCGAGACTCCGAGTATCCTTTGGATCCAACTTTCTCTTCCAACCCCTCTCGTTGATCTTGTCAAGCGTCGCCGCCGACATTGATGTGTACATGCAAAGTGTGCTAGATGCTCGTTTGGGTAGCGCTCTCGCTGCTCTCACATGGCTTGTATCGGTGTCTCATGCGTCCGAGTTTGGAATTGCTTTCTTCCATCTGCCAAATCCTTCAAAAAGGTTCTGATAGTACTTTCCCCATAGTCTCTTCAGTAACTGTAGATAAGCAAAGGGCATCGGTAGACTTACCCCACTTGAATGCCATGAAGGAATTCGAGGTCGGTAATAAAGCCGTCAAGAGGCCGATTACTTCCCGAATACTGCTCGAGCAATGGCCTCGGTTTTCCCCCTTCTTCTGTGGACATGTTTTGAGGTTGACCTCGTGTCTTGTTCTCGCTCTTTCGCTTTGAATGGTACTTCCCCTCTTTGATGGTCACCTCAATGGACGATAGGGTCGTAATTAAAGTATCATCTTCCGTTGAGAGTTGCGTAAGATGTGATTACACAGGATACATAATCTGACTAGTGGAAAGCTGTTAAATAGGTTCAGGATTTGACGGCTCAGAACCATAGGCGTTATTCCCAGGATATGACTCCGTAGGGAGAGGTTGACCAGGCAGCCAAAAAGGACGATAAGAGCTTATCTGCTCCAGACCTAGAGTGTTGTATTCAGATGGGGCCCGATACTGTCAATCCGACCGTCGAAGGAATAGAGGTTACTATCGCACTCATACATAGTGTTAGTCATCTGGATCTGGATGTCGTATTGCGAGTGTCGGTTGAACAATGGGCAACTGCTTTGGCCCATCCGAGGCTCCATCGCGAGTGGGATTCCAGTTTTGAGAGAGTCTGGAAAAATGTCTGTGGCGGAAAGGAGGGAGCTCGCCGTCTCGGTTCTTTCCGGTCACAATCAGGCTAGACCCTCCCCCCTCGACCAGTTCAAGAATGCAAAGTATCAAAATGCACTCTGCGTTAGTGTCTTTGGTCACCCAATTGATATCCCGTTTTCAGTGTAGGGCTAGAACCAATGGTGTAAAGAAACGTAGGACGTACCACCGACGAGAATCTCCGCTCTTGTATGATTCGGCGCTATTGGCTTGCAAGCTGATAGACCAGTCAATCAATCACGACCCCAAGATCCATAGAACCATAGTAGAATAGCCGTCATCTCGAAATGGAAAATTGAGTGAGAGGTTTTGTGAAAACATGAATAGGCTTTGTGTTTCCACATAGAACACCTTCGTATATTGTCTTCCCAGCAGCAGTTACAATCCGCCATACTTGCCTCTCAACCCCGTCATTAGCAATCCGAACTCAGTCCTTTGATTCATTTTCTTATTGAAACCTTTAGTTATACTCAGAATCTCGTTCGCAATGGCCATCATATCGACTAAGATTGAACTGCCTAGCCCGGGAAAAGGGTCATCCTCCAAGACAAGTCTGCTAGAAACTACCCTCACGATCCTTCTCATCCTGATCTCCAAGGGAGTTTCACGTTCTCAGATGACGACAAGGAAACAAGTGACTCTGAAGTTGCGGGAAATGTCATTGCCAACAGAGAGGCGGACATCTCCAAACCGACTGGAAGTCCTCGTCGTCTCAACATCTTACGTGGCTGCTTTCTAAAGCCAAAGGTGTTGTATCAGAAGAAGTCCTGTCCCAACCCATACTTCAAGTCTCTATTAATGAACTCAGAAATACCAAGAAGACTTTCTGTGCAATAACAATCACTTGCCTTCTTCGTCTTCAAGTTAAAAATGAAGCAATCCGCTCGCAACGGCAGCTGCCGGGATCAAATTTCACCGTCATGCCTCGCGCAGCAAATTGTCAAAGCCCAGGCGAGACTGTCCGGCAGGGTGGTTCGCACGCCGACAACGCAACTGCACTGGATAGGGGGAGGCTCCCACAATGTTTGGGCGAAACTTGAATGCCATTAAGAAACCGGTTCCTTCAAGTTTCGAGGACCACTCAACGCGCTGCTCACGACAGCCGCGCCAGTCGTCATCACCGCGTCGGCCGGCAACCACGCCCTTAGCTTTCTGCCGCGCGGCGAAAGCTGCGCGTAAGACATCAAAAGTAATAGTATCCGTAACCGTATCAGAGCTCAAAGCCAAGCGTATCTTGGCCGAGGCGGACGAGGTCATCTTTTACGGTCACGACCTCGCTGGGGCGACTACGGAAGCCATTCGTATTGAAGAACTGTCGGCCATTGGCAGCATGATTGGTGAGCCCATGGTGAAGTACGTTTCGCCATATGACGACCTCCATGTGGCGGCGGGTGCCGGCACGCTCATGTCTGAGGCCTTCGAGGACGCTGGGGCGTTCGACCAAGTCATTTTGCCGCTGAGAGGCGGCGGTCTTACCGCCGCGGTGGCGTCGTGGTGCCGGATCTACTCGCCTTCGACATAGGTCATTTGCGTGCATCCAAAAATCTTTTGCAGGTCTCTTGACAGTGAGAAGAACGGCGTTCGGCTTTCTCAAATGCTGCATCAGTCTAACCCAAGCAACTCTTTGTGATAGACAGGCGGTACAGCTAGTGCGGCCGACCCAGTTTGCCGACATATTGGACTCCCACGTCGACAAGGTCGTTGAGGTGTCCGAGGACGCGGTGCTAGCGGGCATCGCGTTATCACTTAGGCACCAATCCCTGCTCATCGAGGGTTCATCTGGAGCGGCCATATTCGCCATCACTCATGCGAACAGCCTATTGCACGATCTGAGGGGCAAGACTCTAGCCCTCTTGACCGGCGGCAACCTGAGCTCCAATAATGTTGCTTGTGCTCTTGTAGCCGATGTCGCAGATCCCACGGCTCGACAGCAGAATGCCCTTCGAAACATCACTAATCCTTCCAATAGCAATGGAGCCTTGGATAAACTTGCTAGGAAGGCTCCAGTCGAGGGCCTTTTGACCTCAAATGGAAGCGCAGCAGTCTTGAAAAAGAATCAGGTGGACGCCTCAGTCACGAAAGCCAAGACTTTGCCGGAAGGCGTGATGGATGGCCCATGTGACGGCTTCGACGAAAGAATCGCAATACTGCATAACTTTGTCAGTCACAGACGCCAACTATCTAGACAGCTCGAGCTAGATATCGACTGCTTGAGCGAAGACGTGCTGGGAGATATGGTCGCGAGGACACAGCGCATGATCCTCGAGTTGAGGGATGCTCTCGTCAGGCGGGAAGAGCCTCTGTGGGTTCTCGAAGAGCCTTAATCATACCTTGGTTATTTGTTGGGCCGCATTCCAGATCGTATGGCAGTATGTCATGCACCATTTACGCCCGGGTGACAGGGTTACCCTACCGCCATACATTTACTTCGAGGCCATGGAACAGATTGTTGCCATGGGCAAGATGATCAACGTGGACTTTGCCCAAAGCTTCCATGCTGATGATACAATCCGTGCTGCCGAGGAGACCGGGGCGCGGGTGGTCTTCTTGGATCCTGTGGTGAATGTTGTTAGACTGCCATGCACTGACATTCGTGCTTTCTTGAAGAAGGTGACGGGACAGGCGGGCGGAAAAGACCGTCTTGTCGTTATCGACGGAACAATGATCTCTGGGGGCTTGTCCGTGTTCGACTGGGCCTCAAGCAGCGATGGAGGACCGGCAGTGCTGTACCATGAGAGCGCGAGCAAGTACGCCCAACTGAGCCTGGAAATTCAAATGACCGGCTTCTTTGTGGCGCCCTCACACTTGGACGAGCTCCTACGAAAGATAAGACGCAACACGGGAGGCGTGCTGTCCCGGCATGGCGTGGCATGCTTGCCGTCCCTCACCCCGGAAATCTATGAGGCCCGACTGCACATGTTGACTCACAATGCTGAGTCGGTTTATCGTGGTCTCCAAGAGTGTGTCTTGCATGCGGCCAAGGTCGTCTATCCGGGGGCGCACTTGTTACCGATGAGTTCCTCGATACTGAACTAAACAATCGCGAACGTCTTTAGGCTTGTATCAATTTGGTGCTGCAGACTTCGACTAGAGTCAGTCTCCCCATCACGAAAGAGATGAGCTTCGGGTTCTCAGCCAGCTCATCTATGGCTGACAACACGGACCCGTTCTTCCGCATTTCTGTCGGCGAGGTACCTATTCTAATGGATGTGATGGCACAGGCCATCGTTAAATATGTCAGAGAGTTCAGTGCTATAGCCTCAAGATCACAGTATTATCAGATTATTTATAAAGACTGGATGCTATGCGACGGGGTTTATTGAACAAGGTCCGCGTTTCGAATGAAAGGAGCAAATAGGTCAGGCAGGCTTCGGGGTCGCGGACCGGACAGAATGGGCCAGAATCCGTTGTGGCTAAGGACACATTCGCAGTCCATGTTAGGAATCAGTACGGCGGACAGGGCATGTTTGATTAAGGTCGAAGTTGCTCGTCCTCATTGGTTGCAAGACAAGGTTGAGCACCCATTAAGCTGTTTTTGATGACATGCTCAAGAGTTGTATTGCAATGCCAAGGTCAAATGGTACTTTGGCTACGACGCGTCCGGTGGTCCCTGAGAGAAATAAACACCCTCAGCCCCCAGTCTACAAATGCATGGGCTCGGCCGTGCGAGCTATGTCGAAAACTACGTCTTCTAGTTGTGGGGTGAAACGAGGCATCGAGTACGGACCGCTCTGTACGGTTGATTTATAAGTGGAGCCACCAGGAAAAGCTTCGAGACTAGTATCGGCCAACTCAACAGCCTGCCGTTGGTGAATAAGCGGTATTCTGAACTTGAGTCCGCAGTCGGGGGGCACCAGGACTTGTCGCAATCAGTCTCTTCAAAGAGCACCGTGTGCGCGTGATTGCTACACAGATTCCGTCCGAACTCCAACACAGCCACGCAGCAAGACGGTCTCTCGGCTCGGTCCAAACTCGTCTGCCGAACAACAGCAACTGGAGGTCAGACACGGTACTCGTCGGCGCCGAGAACTTCATGCCGAAAAAGAACGGGGTTGCGCCTCGAAAGGTATTCACATCAAGTGACTGAGCCTGGGATGAATGGGGTGACATCTTGTTTCGCCTCAGCTGCGATGCAACAGAATTCAGATGAGTAGTTGATCATTTACGGGCGACATTACAGAGGGCGACAAGAAAGGCTTGAAAGGGTTAGAATGAAACATCATCAGTCCGATGTTTGGCTGGCAACCCCACGCCCGTCTCATTTCCGCGGGGAGCCATGTTTAAACCGCACACGGCCCAAGTCAAGCGAATCGGGGGCGGAAACGAAACGGCGGCGATAAAGTTGAGCTGGCCACAGTTTGCAGCGACTCGTTTTCTCGCGACGCGAAGTTCCGCCGATGGAAGTGACGTTCGGTACCGCAACGGCGGTAGGACTATCAGCAAGGTTCCAGAAGCACAAGTCAGCTGTGTTGCTGACTCGAATTATGGTTGTTTCCAAAGTCCGGCTCCGAAGTGCGGCCAAGCTGAGTTACCGAAGCACAAACTGATCCGGCAGCGAGATCGAGATCTGGACGGGTTCCCCAGGTTCATTGAACAAGTTTCCCCATTTACTACTAGAACGCTAGGAAGCAGGAACTCACCGCAGAAAATAAGCATCATCTCAGCGAGTCCCGTCACGCTCAGTATGGGCCCTTGCATTAACTTGGGCCGCTGGGATGGTCGGCAAGTCCACCGGTCTCCACCGCGTTGCCGGCCGTGTGGGGGGCCCGAGGAGGATCCGAAATCGCATGGCGGCGATGGCGCAATATGTCGCAATGGCAGGGCCCCAGAGCCTGGATCCCCTTATCGGGAAATTTTTGCATCCTGTCCAAGGGCAAGATTCTTAAAGTCGATTGACTCACTGGCAAAGAGCGTGGAAAGATTGGAGATGATGTCAGGCCTGATTGGCCGATGTCGATAATTTCCCTACACATAGGAAACCTGCAGTGCCATGCTTCGGACACAGACTGTCCTCCGGGACCTGGAAGGATAATCCCAGGTGCACCAAAGTCTGAATACCAATGACACCTTCTTTTTCTTCGATTCGTCGGCTTGCGGCTCTTCTTGTCTCTCCTTCACAACCCAACTGAATCAACATGGCTCGCCAGAAGACGTTGCTTGATGGTGACGACGCAGTACGGGGGGTCGACGAGAGGTCGCCGTTGCTGCCGAATGCTCGACGCGAATCGAGCTCTTCAGGTGAGAGCTCCTTGACGTCGTCATCGAGCGGGGACTCGGGCGGCCAGTTCGTGCCATGGCATCTCACACCTGCGGCAGTGGTCGATGGTGCATGTGACGATGTCGAACGAGTGGCGCCCGCCGCCACCGACGATACCAAGCCGACAAGCAAAGGGTTACCGACGGCCGCCGTCATCAAGATCGTGGCGATCCTGCTGGTTGGGACCTTTACCGCCAACGCTGATAGCTCTTTGGTGATGGCAACTCATCCCACGATTGCCTCGGAATTCGACGACCTGGAGAACTCGAGTTGGCTCTTTGTCTCTTTTGCGCTTGCTGGCGCGGCAACACAGACTCTGGTGAGTGGGATTTAGAGGTCCAGAAACACCAGAAGCTGATAGTGGAGCAGTATGGAAAGCTCAGTGACATCTACGGCCGTCGTGCCCTGCTCATGGTGGCTTACGCACTGTTTTCCATTGGATGGTGAGTACCATTCCAAGCTTTTGAAGCCCCAGCTCACAGTTCCGCAGCGCCTTGGTCGGTGTCGGCCGTACAATGTGGCAGGTGGTTGTAGGCCGAGTGATATCGGGATCAGGCGGCTCGGCTTTGAACGTGCTTGGTCTGCTTCTGATCACAGGTATATACAACTTCAATACCCTCGCGCAGTAATCAGGACTGACCTGGGTAGATCTCGTCCCACTCCGCGATGTGGCAGCCTGGCAAGCTGGTGTGAACCTCGCTTCGACGATCGGTCGGAGTCTCGGCGGCCCCGTCGGAGGTTGGCTTGCTGACACCATTGGATGGCGTTGGTCTTTCCTTGGCCAAGCCCCCATTTTCCTGGTTGCGGTTCTGTTATGCTGGTTCTTTTTGCCGGAGGGAAAGCGCGTCGAAAAAGAAGAAGCGGCCCAAGATGAGAGAGCAAAGCCAGAAGAAACGAAGAAGAGTGCCCTGGCGAGAATCGACTTCTTGGGTGCCGCGCTGCTGGCACTGTTCATCCTGACTTTCCTCCTTCCGATCGAGATTGGAGGCACCAAGGTCCCGTGGACACACCCTCTCATCTTCGTCTTGTTCGGCGCGGCAGCTGTGCTCGGTGGCTTGTTTGCCGCAACCGAGGAATGGTGGGCCGAGGAACCCATCTTCCCACTCGAGCTATTAAAGCATCGCGACATCGTCCTTACGTACATCGTCTCGGGGGCCCAGATTGCTGCTCAGCTAGGCCTCATGTTCTCGGTACCGCTGTACTTTCAAGTCACTCAAAGAGTTTCGAACACGGTTGCTGGCGTCCATCTCTTCCCGGCCGTCGCCGGCAACGCAATTGGAGGTGTGCTTGCGGGATATCTCATCAAGAAGTGGGTTGAAACCAGACAAAAGAGGATGAATGACTGCTGACCTGTCGCAGAACCGGACGTTACAAGACTCTTCTCATCGCTGGAACGATTTCGTCCTTGTTTTCGTATGTCCTCCTGCTCCTCCGGTGGCACGGAGACACCAATGTGTGGGAGTCGCTGTATATCGTGCCGGGCGGCTTCGGGGCCGGTCTCGTGCAGTCGGCAGGATTCATCAGCGTCCAGGCTGCGGTGAACCCAAAGCACAAGGCGGCCGTGACGTCGGGAATGTTTCTGACGTTCCAGATTGGCATGATCCTCGGGCTTGCGTCCATGAGCGCGGTGATGATGGAGACGATGAAGTGGAGGCTGAATGCCCTGCTGGAGGCCATGGACTTGGGAGCAGTGGCAAGGAAGAAGGTAAGGGGTGTCCTCTCTGTTTCAACATGCGTATGTTGCTGACGTGAAGGGCGCGACAGATAATCGAGAAAGCAAGATCAAACGTCGACTTCATCGACCACACAGACAGCGGGATCGCGAAGGCGATTGTCCAGTCGTACGTGGAGGGCTTGGGGTTTAGCCACGGTGTCTCACTCATTTCGTCGACGATTGGACTCTTTGCTTCCCTCTTTCTCAGAGAACATAAGCTGTGATAGTTGATATTTTTCCATCTGCAAGCGGGTAGAGCGAGAGTGTTGTAGCATGATTCCGTCATTGCCTGCGTGAGTCAAGCATTGTTGAATTCGACATTGGCAAGGTGGATGGGATTACTGGAAGAGAAAGACCATGAAATCATTGTATTTATCAATAGAAGAGACGACTGATTGCCTGCTTGAAACCACCTAATGCGATGGCGGAGCGTGACGTTGTAGGCCGTGACATGAAGCATTAATGACGGAAGGAGTCATACGCGCCCGCCCACCTGCCGCGGCAAGCCCGTGGTAGGTACGTCTGACTGTGTCTAACACTCTCAACACTGTACGTTGGCACGTTGAATCCTACTCTACCCGGCACTTGCACCGTGCGCGCCTCCCCCTCCTCTAACTGGCGTGTCTCGGTGAGAAGTCACCTTCCTACCTACCTTTTACGCCGATACGTGATCTCATCCCAAGCAAGTCAACATATGCCGCAACTCGAACAAGCCTGCTGTTCGGACAGATCATACGGGAAAGCGCCGTTTGTTGGTCTTCTTTGCTACGTACCTCCTGCGAGATGTGACGTGTTGCTTACCTCCATCAGCATCTCAGGTCGCTCGAGTTACTCTTTTCTGCAACTCTGCCGTCGCATGTGAACCGCGACATCTCGTCGACCGGCAGCCTTTCTATCTACGCCGGCTCATGGATGTAGATGCGATGTTGATATTGGCTGTCGTCGATGAGCCTTTCTGTCTTTTCTGACGCCCCCCAGGACTTCCCCGAGTGTACACTCACAAGCCCGCCCCACCAAAGGCCACCAGAAATGGTCCTCGAGGCCGACAGCGGGAGTCCGTACGAGGACAATGGGCTCGTGCTGGCTCAGACGATCAGAGAAAAACAGGCCCAGCAGAAGGCCTTCCAAAGCCACATCAGCACCATGTTCATGCACTTACAAAAGGACCCCTGCCGTAACTGCCTCAACCACTTCCACACGACGCAAGAATGCGACCAGCCCTGCGGCCATTGCGGCCAGGACTGGCACACGGCCGACGCCTGCACGAGCTCCAGGCGCAACCGCTGCCGCTGCCGCCCGTTCCCGCAAAGGCACCTCGTCAAGCGGTGCCCCGCCCCGCACGCCGCGCCCCTCGTCACCGCCATGATGTGCAAGGCCCGCTGCTGCATGTGCGGCCTCCCCGGCCACGCCGGCCGTGACTGCCACCTCAAGACCTGCCGCTGCGGCGAGCAGCACCTTACCCTCGTCCACATGCCCATGGACCGCCAGTGCGCCGTCGTCGACTGCCCGCGCTTCTTCTGCACAAGCCACTGCCAGGTCTGCCGCGCCGACGTCGGCAATGCAAGGGACGGCGACGTCTGCCGGCAATGCCATGCGGAGCGGCAACGCATCTGCCCGCCCGCGAGGCCGCCGGCGTTCCACGACGGCCAACCCAACTTTGAGCACCTGGAGGCAGCGATGGCATGGGGTAACAGCGTACACGGCGAGGCTATTTTCGGCAAAATAATTGCGTTCAATCCATAGGCAGCGTTCGTTTATACTTGATTCTCTCTTTTTCCATATCTCTCCTTCCGCCTTTAGCGACGGCATCATTCAAAGACGAGTTCGTGGGTCCTCGGCTGGGGAGAGAAAATCCTTGGTATCCGGCAACATAGACAAGGGAAACGGTGTTGAAGCGTGGTCCGGCTGCTACGCAATGTATCAAGTCATAAGCAAAGACAGACACAATATCAGAATTACGCCCCATAGAACAGTGTGAATCTTTGTGGATTCAAGTAACAAACTGCCCGTAACAGTTACATGCAAGCCTCGAAGCTTGGAAAGTGACTATGGCCACTTTCGCAGCCCTCAAGAGTCGTGGCCACAACAGACTCCCTGCCCTAGAGCGTGCGCATGGGATATGGCGGGTGGTATCATGCGCAAAAAAATTCCGTAGACTCCCCGCCGTTAGCAAATCCGTCCCAGAATATTTGTAGCAAAACGCCGAAAGTAGCAAAACAAATCAGCATCAAAAGGCGCAATTAATCATCCTCCCATCCACCAACGTCGTCATCCACCTCGATCCGGGTGCCCAGGGCCTCCCTGCCCTGGCGGATCATCTCCTTGAGTCTCTGGTTGAAGTCGTTGATCCGCGCATCCGTGTCCTGCTCGTCCTTGACCCTACGCGCGGCCAGTCTCTTTGCTTCCGCGTCCAGCCGCGGACTTTCCCGGATGGAACTCACGCCAAATTCCTTGAGTTTTCCGCGAGGCGATGCTGCCGATGCGCTGCTATTGGAACGACGGTGGGACCGCACGGGGGGCTGAAAGCCGACGGCGCTGCCGGCGAGGGGATACCGCTTTGCCGCCTGGCCGAGGTGCTTGTTTTTGCAAATGGGTTCGGGCTAGAGCCTGCGGATTGGGAGGGCAGAGGGATCCGACTCGGCGACGGACCGGTCAGGGGTCTAGGGGGCTCCGCAGACCGCACGCTGGCGAAGCTCGCAGGCTCCCGGTACGATAACGGAGCGGTATCCGCCGGGAAGTCTTCGCGGTTCGCAGACTGTCTGCGGTTATGGATCGGAATTGAGCTGAGACGGGGCTTCGGAACGCTGATCCTCCGGCCAGTCACCATGGATGGGCGCGTGTTGCGAGATACTGACCGCATCGATGCCCTCGACACCAGTCTCGCGCCGGCTCCGGACTCGTCCACCACGACCCAGTTGCGCAGTTCGTCGTGGTTCCCAGCACTCGTTTGCCTGCGCTTCACGGCGGGCCGCGACGGCGTGGACTCGGGAGCGAGAGCAAAAGGGTTTGGTGCATCGCGGTTGCAGAATGTATAATCTGGCCGGGGGAATCCGCCCGGCAACGTGCTGTTGGTGTCGGGTGTAGGCACCTCCAAGTGCGGAGGACTCTCATGTCCCCAATCATTCACCTTCTCGTCCGTCTTCTCGGATGGTTCTGCTTCGGCTTCGGGCTCGGGAGCGGGTTCTGTTGCTGGAGCCGGTGCAGGCTCCGGAAGGCTTTGACCGTCAATGGTGTAGGCCTTGCCGCCTCCGGCAGAGAAGCCTCGAAAGGCTCCAGCTTTGCAAAATTCCCAGACCTTGCCGACGACGCCTCCAATCGTGTTGAAGGCAAAACGGCTCCAGCCCCCGGAGACTGGCTGGCTGGGCTGGACAAGCATCGTGGGCTGGCCAGGGACAGGCGATTCTATCTCCTCATGGGGTCGCTTCGATCCTAGGGCTCTTCGGTAGTCGGTGTCGGAGTACAGGCTCTCTTCGAGCGTGCCGTTCTCGAAAGGCGTGTTCGAAGCAGCGCCCGGGGTCTCGAGTTGGCCGGCCAGGGTGTAGCGGGCTCCCCGGATGGGTAGAGGGGTCTCGTGGGCGGGGAGTTCGCTCGAGCTGTCGAGGTTCATATTCCCATCGGTCCATTCGTGCAGCGGTGTAGCCTCGCGCGAGGCGTCGGTCCGACGTTTCCGCTTCGCCTGGGCCAGAGGTGTGGTTGCTTCTGAGTGGTAGCTGTTGGCTCTCGCAAAGCAGTAGGAAGAGCCCGCGGAGGGAGAAGTTGGGGGCCGGAAGACGCCCGGGTGAACTCCGCCGGGCTGTGCGTCAAAGTAGGTGCCCGGCATACGATACTGAGATGTGAAGGCCATGTTGCAGGTGGGACACGGTTGTCGAGTGCCAAGGCGAGAAAAACAAGGGAGGTCGGAGGGCTCGGGAGCACGGTAGAGGGAAGGTGAAGATGTCGCAGGGTCCGCGGCGGAAGGGGTCCTCGAGGTCGGGAGCAGGCGTGGGCGTTGATTCACAATGTCGCAGAGCTCAGTGGAAGCTCATGGTTGACCCCGTGAGCTAGTGCCCAAAAAGGCTGCGGCGTGTGTCTCGGATACGTTGGCAACGAAATGTTGGCGATGCGTTGGCTTGCTGGTCCGTCGTGCGATAGGCCGTGCGATGAATGAGGCTAGGATCTGGCGCTGGCAGACGGCGAGGTGACGGACGACAAGCGGCGGCGGAGAAGGATTTCAGTGTTGACAAGGCGGCGCGTGATCACCGACGGTAAACGTGGGTGTGTATGTGTGTGCTTGTTTAGAGGCAGCTGGTTGGAGAAGTGCGGCGCGGTCAGACAGGTTTTTGGGGGTACCTTGAGCTAAAGGTAGCGTGAGTGAGAGGTAGGGTGAGATGCAGCGCGTGGGCGGATTTTTTTCTGGGGTGGAGGCGGTTGCAAGGAGTAGCTGTCGGCAGTGACCAAGCTCCGTCCTGGCGTTGGCGTGGGCGTCGTTGGTGCTCAACGGAATAGTGCAAAGACACGGACGGGGAGATCCAAGTGCCCGCAAAAGCCGCTGACGGGCCAAGAGAGGAGATGAGGTGGGCTGTGTTGATTGGGTTCGAGTCCCTGAACGGGACGCCGGGATGGACCAGGAAGAAGGGACAATACAAGACGGGCGAGAGAGGCAGGCAACCTGGAAAGCAACGTGCACCAGGGAGGTGGCGCTTGGGGTGACGTCGAGTTTGTTATGCAGACAGGAACGCAAGGGACGGGACGGTGAAGATGATCAAGGTGACCAAGATGACGAGGTATCAGATGGTGGTCCGGTTTAGCGATGCAGGTGACGGAAGTCGGGCGTGGAGGGAGAGGGAACGAGAGGAAAAAGAAAAGAAAAAAAAGGGGAAGAGAGGGCCAGTATCCGTGAGGTCTGTTCTCTTGTAATACCAACGAACACCAACGGCTGGAGAAAGCAGAAAGAGAAAAAAAAGTCAATTGAAGGAGCCGCCTGTCCTCAGTCAATTTCCGCACTCAAGCTCAGACGAGGCGAGGGCGGGCTTGAGAGCCTCGGAGGAGGTTGGGAAGGAAATGTGGAAGGATGCTAGACAGGGGAAAGGCCACTCGGATGGATCGCGCGTTGTGTCAGTGTCAAATGCCAGTCAGTGTCAGTCCCGTCAGTTTTTTTTCTTCCCCTCTGGTTTTGCGCACCACCTGTCGATGCGCGCAGTCTGTCAGTGCCCAGTGTTAGTGGTCAGCGACACGATGGGCTTCTTATTCAGGGCATCCAACGGCCCTTTGCAACGTCTTTGATACGCACTGCACAAGCCAACAAAAAAAAAAGCAAAACAAAAAACACAAGAAGAAAACAAAGGAGAGGGTCGCTTCGGCCACGAGAGATCTCATCGGTTTGTCGCTTCAGACCCGAAAAGGGGAACGCGTCCTCGCTTGGTTGCTAGGGTAGGTAGTTGGTCGCCCAGAGATCCAAGCGCGACATCCGTTAGCGCGGAATGCATCCCTACCTAGTAAATAGAGGGCAGGACCACAACCGACGCTGCAGACCGACCCGAACCAATCCGTCGTGGCGCCGTCGCCTATTCGCGATAATCCCGTGCTGAACACATCACCAGTTTTGGACAGTTTGACGGCAAGTTCCACACAGTCGGTGCAGCCATTCGTTGTAATGTATTCGACATGCGGTAGTCACTGATCTTTCTGCCCGGCTTCCGTTGTCACTAACCCCGGGATCCCCTCGCCCTGGTTTGCACTTGAAAAGCGACCATTATGCCCATCACCGCTAAATAACATACCGTCTATGCAGTGCAGCATCGTCGCCCAGTCTATCCGTCGTTGCCCCCTCGTGCCATCTCTCTCCGTCTCTTCTCATTTGCGCTCGTAGTAGCTGTCCTGCTGCTCCTTGTGGCCCTCCTTGACACCGCCCTGAACCCCCGCCTCGCCGTGGACGTGCTCCTGCGCGCCCCAGAACTGCTCCCGCTCCTTGAGCAGCGCGTCAGCCCACTCCTTGGTCTCGGGCAGCGAGAACTTGGTGGCGACGTAGGCGAACTCTCCGAGGTCGAGCTTGCCCTGGCCGCGCTTCTCGTACTCCATCATCTGGAGGAGCAGCTCCATCTTGTCCAAGTCGTGCACGAAGTGGCTGTTGATCGTCTCCGAGTCCTCGTACTCCTGCCAGAGCTCGCGAATCTCGGCGCCAGCCAGGCCGCCGTACACGCTGCCGAGCAGCGTCTTGGTGATGTAGTCCATCGTGTCCGCCTCACGGCGGTTCTTCTCGGGCTTGGGCACGCCGTCGACGGGAGTGATGTCGCCGACGAGGGACTCGGCCATGTCGTGAACCAGGCACATCTTGATGCATCGGGCGAGGTCGAGCCGAGGCACGAGGGCGGGCGGGGCGAGCATCGACAGGAGGGACATGCGGTACATGTGGTCGGCAATGGACTCTCCTCTGGCAAGGCCAACATGTCAGTAGCCCGTGGGCGGTACGCTTGGAGACGGCGTTAGAGGAAACACACCTTTCGATGCCGAAGCGGCGCCAGCCCTCACGCTTCGTTGTCTTGAGACGCTCAATCAGGTGGAAGTAAGGGAGCGGTGAGTTGGGGTCCGCCGACGTCGCAGTGCCCGGGGAGGCGTCCAGAGCTTTCTCGACCGTCCACTTTCCCTCCACCTTGGGAGTCTCGACGAAGCCCAGGTCTGCACAGAAAGGTCAGCTAGGGTTGGCGGGACGAGGCCGCGAAGACCAAGGCGAACTTGCTCTGGATGTCCACCTCGCCATTGGCGTTAGAGGCACTGTTCGTGCCGTTGTTGGTCGTGGCCGACATGGTTAAGGCTCGCAAGTCTCTGTAAAACCGAGTCGAGTGGATCGCTGGGTATTGTATCGTAACGAGTGTAGAGGGATTGCAGAACAAGATGTTCGTCGTTGAGCGGGGCAGGTAGAGTGCGCCGAGTGGAGGAGGGAGAAAGAGGCAAGGTACGAGTGTGTGGTCGGAAAAGTATCGCGGGGTCTGCCTTATCCTTATCGATGTGGCCGCGCTAAGAAAGTCGTCCCTGGGGAGTTGGTTGCAACAGAACAGCGACCCAACTGATATCAGGGGAGAAGGGAACGAGAGCAGTTAGGGGCAGAACCGTGACTGAGAACAACAAAAGGTTCTAGTGGCAACGCGAAGGCGGGTCTCTACTACAGTCAAATAAAATAAAAATTCCCCGCCTGTCCCTTCTCTCGTACCAAACAACCAAGAAAGGAATATCCCGGCTTTGATGCCACCGCCTTGCCTTCTCCCTGCGGCTGCCTGATGACCGCGACAGCCCCCGTCCCCCGTCCCCCTCTCGTTTGCCACGTGCAAACCGTTGCAGCCGCATCAGCCCGCCGCCGCCTACCGTCCTCCGGCCTTGAAGAAAGCAAGCGGCCCCGACCGAGGAGGGTGTCCCGGCCCCACTTCTTCCTTCCTGTACCCCTCTTCTCTCCAACCACTCGGCGGGCCGGCATTTGCGATCCTCTCGCTAGCACCCCTGCTGGATGGCTTGGTACAACTTACAACACGCTAGTTTTGTTTGTCACCAAAGGGACGTAAGGCAAAATGAAGGCAACAGTGGATTCTGCAGGTGCGTTCTTCACAGCGACTATTGTTCCCGTCACAGCCCAACGCAAAAAAATTGCCTATCATCCCCGAGCCGTCACAGCTCATAGTCTGGAATCTCCACAGTGGTGTTTCCCTCCAATGCCTCCCTGATAGCTTGGCAAACAATCAACGCAGCAAGACCGGCCTGCGTCGAGCAGCTGGGTGACTCTTCGCCAGCAATCACCCGACAGAAATGCGCAAGCTGCAGCTCGAATGGGATTGCGTCATCCACCGGGGCCTTCTCCCGTCCTAGCTCGGAATGCCATGATTTTTTGCTCGTGCCTTTGTACGACCAAATCGACATGTCGGGTACGCTTAGCGTCCCCTCCGTACCAAACACTTGGTAAAAGTTCTGTCCTGTTTTGGGGATCAGAGGGTTTTCGCCAGTCCCCGCTTCAAAACTGTAAGGCGACGGGACATTGTCCGAGATGAGAAACGTTCCAACCACCCCGGACTTGAACCGGAGTGTCAGAGCCGCGCCCTCTTCCGCCTCATGGTCTCGCTCGGAAGTCGTCTTTTCTCCGTGAACCCTCGTTATCGGACCCAAGAGATGGTGCAAAAGATCAACCTCGTGGATGACGTTGATCAGGATGACTCCTCCGTCCTTCCCCTTCCTCCATTCGGTCGGGGCTTCGAAGTAGTCCTCCGGCTTATAAGTTGTCCACAATCCGTTGATCGCGACAACCCTGCCCAGAGACCCCGTGTCGATGACTTTCTTTGTGCTGATAATGTAAGGGTTGAACCGCCGATGGTGCCCCACGAGCGACTTGACTTCGGTTGTCCGGAGATGGGTCAGAAGCTCATTCCCACTTGAGATGTCAGTACTGATGGGCTTCTCTATGAGCACATGGACGCCTGCGGAAGACAATTGCTTGGAAACAGCGACATGTGTGTGGTTGGGCGTGCATATGATTGCGGCTTGAGGCACGTGAGGTGACCGTAAGAGATCATCAACGGAAGCGTAGTATGCTACGTTAAGCTCGGCTGCCAATCGAATTCCGGCTGGTGCAGGGTCCACAACGGCTACCAGTTCAGCTTGGGGCTCTCGACGACTGTTATAGCATGTCGCGGACCGATTAAACCAGTGCCGACAATCGCAAAAGTTGTTTTGGTCATCGGGGTCGACATGATGCGACAGGCCAATGCTAGAGGGTTTGGACAAAATAGAATCACAATTGGGCAAGCAGAGAGCGTCCCCAGTCAGGACAGTTTACTGACTTTATGTCTCATGGACTAGGACTAGACGATGAGATAGATCCACCAACTTATTCCATTATGATAGGCTCTACGAGCAGCCACCGTACGAATCTCAGCCGCTTCCTGGTCATTCAAATTGCCGGGTAAGATTGGTGCCGGAACTGCGTTTATCCAACGGAGCAACTTTCTTTGATGCTAACGCAGAAAGAGTCAACAATCCAGCTCTCGCCTCACGGCGCTCGGCTGGGGGGAACCCACACCCCGCATCTTGGGTAAGTGAACCCCGCATTGTCATACGAGCCCGAAACTGTCGCAAGGCTGATTTCCCGAGAAGCGACATCGGCATCGACTGACGCATGCGCATCAGCTTAGCAAGGTCAACGAAAAGCTAAGACACCACAGCTTTGATACGAACAATTAAGACCAAATTCGTCTATGGGCCGTCTCTCCTATACGGTATCAGAATTCAGTTGAGGAGATGGCAATCTTATCGACCGCTCAACACCCCGCTAGCGCCTGGCTGGCTATTCATCAGATGAAAGACACAACAGCTATGTTAGGAAAAGGACTACGGGCACTTAATTATTGATGTTTAGAGGGAATATGCTGGTCCTTATGAGCCATCGTGGTCATGAAAGAGATGAACGCAGCCATGTGCCTGAATCCAACGCCAGAGTCTCTCTACTCAAGCGGTTCGCGAAAATCCGAGGTAGCAACTCGTGGAACGGCAAGATTTGCGGCCCTTTTTGCGATAATATTCAAATACGAGCTAGATGACCAATGGTGGCGATCGAAGGCAGTGTGTGGGCATTCGACTGCTAACGGAGCGAGAGCCCTTCGTGCAGCGATACGGAATGTCTCTGTGACCTCTGAAAGAAGTCCTGACTTACCGTGATTCTATCCGAAGCATTGCTGACTAACCCGGGTTTATCTTGCTATTGCTATTGTGAAGTGATTTTTTAGCAACAAACCGTCCTTGGACGAACGAAGGAATCGATGCTACTCGTTTTCCGGTATGAGAGAAACCAGGGTAGCATGTCCCGACCAAAATTCCAGGAAAAGCCAGAAAATGGTCAGCAGCGGGGTTGACTGAGAAGCGCTCCAACAAGAATATCTGGTCTCCCCTGGTGCACGGCGATCACTGCCTACGACTAGTGCTCCCAAAGGAATCCGCAGAAAATCTGACGCGGCGACTATCCAGCGACATCTACAGTGAGAAATCGTCGATCTTCAGACGAGTAAAACATCTTAGGTTCGTTGGCTGGGACGATCACTAGTGTCTGAAGTCATCATACCTTTGCCCAAGTCTTTGATTGCGTGCTGGAACGTGTAGATCAGACCCAGCTCTCACTCCGGCGGGTGGTCGAAGAAGGGTTGAACCGAATGGGGTCTCCTACATTAAGGTTAGAGTACAAGGCTTGTGGGCAGCCTCCAAGGAAAACAAGGAAGGTACCCCTCACAAGCAGCGCACTTGTGGAGGAGGGGTAAACGAACCGAAGGCTGGTTTGCTGTCCCCTAGAAAGTTGATGATGTCCCAACCGGCACTGATTGTGACCTCTGTGAGGGGAAATTATGGGTCCTGCAAAAGGCCTGGGCCTTATTCATCGGACCAAGGGGTTTAATAGGATCATGGGATGAAGAACAACACTCGGGCCTCCAGAAGAGCTTGCAGCACCTCAATTCTGAAAGAGGGGTGGGTGAGCAGAGCGCCGAGCCGTGGTGGTATAATAAGATGCCCACTGTCTCCTTACTCAGGGCGTCGAACACCGCTCATCGTTTGGCTGACCTCGGTCAACTTTGTTGTTGTGTCTTTCAACATGCGGGCCCTCATAACCCTTCTTGGAGTGGCGTTGATCTTCCCACATGCTTTGGCTGACTCAGATAACAATAATGACAACAACGTCCAAAGCCCTCAGTTCCACAA